TTGGTTGGAGTCTCACTCTGTCGCCCAGACTGGAGTGCAGTGGCTGTTCCCGGCCACCACACCCTCGGCCTGCTGAGCTCCGGCGATCCTTCCGCTTCAGCCTTCCCAGTAGCCGGAATTACAGGCGCGCTCTACCACGCCCGGCTAATTTTTTTATTTTATTGTAGAGATGAGGTCTCACCAAGTTGCCCAGGCAGACCTCGAATCCACGGGCTCAGGCAATCCACTCACCTCAGCCTCCCAAAGCGCGGGATTACAGGCTAAGCCACCGAGCCCGGCTCAGATGACATTTTAATTAAGTAGAAAATGTTAGTTGCCTTTAAATACTTGTTGCAAATTATTTCTAGGTTGCCTACACTGCAGCACTGTGATTGTGTGAGGGGTTTTGTTTTTCTTTTGTTTTTTTTGAGTAGGAGCCTCACTCTGTTGCCCAGCCTGGATGGAGTGCAGTCACACTGTCATGGCCACCACAGCGTTGACCTGCTGGGCCCCAGTGATCCTTCCACCTCAGCCTTCCAAGTAGTTGGAACTACAGGCACGCGCTCCCACTCCCTGCTAATATTTTATTTGTTATAGAGATGGGGTCTCACCAAGTTGCCCAGGCGGGTCTCAAACCCGTGGGCTCAGGCAATCCACTCACCTCGGCCTCCCTAAGTGGGAGGTAGAATTACAGGCTGAGCCACCGAGCCCAGCGCATGAGGGTTTTTTAAGGATGTAACAACTCCAAGGCCAAAGTTCAGGGCAGGGATCCAGCATAGCGCCATGGGCCACATCACAGGCGCTGAATCGAAGCCAAGTTTTTTTTTCTTTTGAGTTGGAGTCTCACTCTGTCGCCCAGACTGGAGTGCAGCGGCCGCTCCCGGCCACCACAGCCTCGACCCGCTGGGCTCCGGCGATCCTTCGGCCTCAGCCTTCCGAGTAGCTGGAACTACAGGCGCGTGCTACCACACCCGACTAATTTTTTATTTATTGTAGAGATGAGGTCTCGCCAAGTTGCCCAGGCGGGTCTCGAACCCGCGGGCTCAGGCAATCCACTCACCTCAGCCTCCCAAAGGCGCGGGATTACAGGCTGAGCCACCAAGCCCGGCTTTCCAAGCCAAGTTTCTAGATGACGGGTCTCGTTTTCCCCATGGGGTACCATTCTGAGTGTCTGCAGTGGTTCCTTTTCGGGTAGCACGGACTGTCTGTGCTCACCACATGCCGAGAGTGTCACAGCCTCCAGACCTGTTTTTTGTGACACTAGGTGTGGCTCAGGTGTGTTTCTGTTAACCATGGACTGTGTCAGCATCATGATGCCCCCTGGGCAGTGGGGTCCTACTGCAAGCCTGACCTGGGTTCTGAGGGAAGCGAGGGCATTCCTGCCTGAGATGAGGCGTCTGGCTGCTTTGGCCTCCTCGGGCTCTGCAACGTGTGGCTCCTGTCAGTGGCATGGCGTCCTTCTGGAGCGTGTGGAGAAACGTCCGGCACAGGCAGGACTTTCTCCCCCCGCTCTTGGCTGAACAGTTTAAGTCTAAAAAAGCTGCAAGAGAAAACAACACCCTTCACCTAAACACACCTGTTGGTACCATTTTATCCCATTCGCTTTGTCCCTCTCATTTTTTTCTTTTTCTTTCCTGGTCTATTTGAGAGTAATTTGCAGACACCCAGATACTTCAACTTAAATCCATAAATCCTCTAAAATAGGCATTGCTGTCAAGCTCACGCCTGTCACCCCAAGAGACCGAGGTGAGAGGATTACCTGAGCCCAGGGGTTCAAGACCAGCCTGGGCCACTTGGCAAGACCTCATCTCTACGATAAATCAAAAAAGAATTAGCCCGGTATGGCGGCACGCGTCTGTTTTTCTAGCTCTTTGGAAGGCTGAGGCAGAAGGATCGCCTGAGCCCAGGCAGGTTGGGGCAGCAGTGGCTGTGAGCATGCCACTGCCCTCCAGCCTGGGCTACGGAATGAGACTCCAACTCAAAAAAAAGTGTATATTTATTCTTACATGCTTACACTTCAGTCACCTTCAAAGCACTTTTCATTGGGTGCAATAAACCCAGAGGGGCGCTTTTTCCACTGCTCACCTTTTAGTGCTTCTGCCCATTTTTGTTTCACCTCTTCCACATGGGCAAAACGTTTCTTTGAGAACTTTTTTCTTTTTTTTTTTTTTTTGAGTTGGAGTCTCACTCTGTCACCCAGGCTGGAATGCAGTGGCATGCTCACAGCCACCCCAGCATCAACCTGCTGGGCTCTGGCGATTCATCTGCCTCAGCCTTCCAAGTAGCTGGAACTACAGGCGCGCGCTACCACACCTGGCTAATTTCTTATTTATTGTACAGATGAGGGCTCGCCAAGTTGCCCAGGCTGGTTTCGAACCCACGGGCTCAGGCAATCCCCTCGCCTCGGCCTCTCAAAGTTATGGGATTACAGGCTGAGCCCAGCCAATATACAATTTTTTATAAATACCTGATTTTTGGGGTCCCCCTGCATACTCCGATCGACAGCCCATGAAATAGGACGTGCTGCTGAGTAAACTGAGGCACGGAACAGAAGGGAACCTCTGGGACACACAGGAAACGGCCTGGTTTGAACTGAGGCAGTCGAGCTTTGAAGCCAGTGCTCTCGGCCCCTGTGCGATGCTGCCTCCTGACCACAGCTGGGCTCCAGGTACATGCTGGGCGCAGCCGTCGTTTTGTGTTCAGGGTTAGAAACGTAGCCCTGATTATCGTTGAGTCTCTGGAGGAACATGCCTGCCTCACAGAGTTCCCGCTGGGTGGTGGCTTGCAGAACACCTGTGACAACATCTCTGTACTCCTTAGGAGATGGTCTGTAGAGTCTTAGTACCCGAGAAAGCACACAAGTGGGTAGAAAGCACCATTCCTCCAGACTCACAGACATTCTTACCAAACACGTGCTACCCTTGGGGGCAGCCACACAAGGCATGCAGTCACCCTTCGGACAGCGGTCCAGGGTCTGGGAGGGGCAAGACGAAGCCATGAAAGGACAAAAGGATGATTTGATTAGAGAGCAATAAAACCAGCAGGGCTTGGCGGCTCAGCCTGTAATCCCGCGCCTTTGGGAGGCTGAGGTGAGTGGATTGCCTGAGCCCGCGGGTTCCAGACCCGCCTGGGCAACTTGGCGAGACCTCATCTCTACAATAAACCAAAAAATTAGCCAAGCGTGGTAACACGCACCTATAGTTCCAGTTACTTGGAAGGCTGAGGCAGGAGGATTGCTGGAGCCCAGCAGGTCGAGGCTGCGGTGGCCGGGAGCAGCCATTGCACTCCAGTCTGGGCGACAGAGTGAGACTCCAACTTTAAAAAAAAGAGAGAGAAATAAAACCTCAATTGTGTTTCTACAGAACAGGCTGGAGCCCACTGGCAATGTGTTGCATGGGGGACCATGAAAACACACCTGTGGGAGGAGGGGGTGGCTCTCTGCAGGTGCACTTTGTTGCCAAAAGGAAGTTCTTTCTGGAATTTTTTTTTTTAATTGAGTCAGAGTCTTGCTCTATCTCCCAGGCTGGAGTGCAGCGGTACTCTTAGGGCCACCACAGCCTTGACCAGCTGGACACAGGCAACCTTTCCTCCTCAGCCTTCCAAGTAGCT